CAAAAAGCCAAGGCAGTTCCTTTATTAACCAATGAAACCAACATATAGACATATGAACCTATTACATCAGTTTATGTGAGAAATCCTAGTGATTCACACCAGCCTAGCATCAGGGGAGTCAGGAAAAGTGGTCAGATCAAGCAGTCTCCAGAGAGTAGGATTTGGAGGACTTGTTCACATCACCAGCAATGGCTTTGAGGTAAGAAGGCTACAGCTATCAAAAAGTGTATTTTTTTTTCTCTTGCTGCATAAGAGCACAAAAACCAAAAGCAACCTGGGCAGGAATGAATTTAGTTGGTTTATTGGTTGTAGTCCATTGAGGGAATCCAAGGCAGGAACTCAAGCAGGGTAGGAACTGGGAGGCAGGAATGGTAGTAGAAGCAAAGACCATAAGGGAATTCTGCTTACTGGTTTGCTTCCCAAGGATTTCTCCATCTGACTTTTCTTCCTTTAATCCAGGAACTCTTTTCTAAAGGTAGAACAGTCCACAGTGTGCTGAGCCCTTCCATATCAGTCGTTTACCGAGAAAATACACCACTGACTTACCTACAAGACAAACAGATTGAGGAATTTTCTCAATTGGAGTTCTATCTTCTGAAATGACTCTAACTTGTGCTAAATTGTTAGAAAACTCGTGATTATTAGAGGTGACAGGGAAAATTCTGGAAGGACACTAGAAGCAGAGGTCAGCAACAGATGTGTGAGTCAGGTGTAGTTGTTCAAAGGTTGAAGGTTCTTCTGTGGTGCTGACCAGTAGGAAGCTGAAATATAAGTCTGCAATTCAAGAGAAAGCACAACAATCAAGACATAAGTTAAGACATTGCTGGCATGTAACCACCCACTACTTTTGATCATGGCAATATGATTTTAAGAGAAGGCACAAATTTTTTTATTTCTTCTGTAAACTTTTCCAAAGTATGAATAAACTGGCAAGCTGCATTTTCCAGAACTATCTTAAATCCTTTTATATTCATAATTCTTTCACCCAGACTAACCATCTACAGGAGGAGGCCGCTTATTCGTGCCAGCCGCCCAGAACCAAAATAACCATACAAAAGCTATATTATTTAAATCACTGTTTGGCCCATTAGCTCTAACTTCTTATTGGCTAACTCTTACATATTAATTTAACCCATTTCTATTAATCTGTGAATCGCCATGTGACAGTAGTTTGTAGGCAAAGTTCCAGCGTCTGTCTCCGGCAAGGCTGCATGGCTTTTCCCTGACTCCACCTTCTCTCTCCCAGCATTCAGTTTAGGTTTCACCTCCTATCTCTATTCTACCCTGTAAGACCAACTCAGTCTTCTTTATTTGTTAACGGTAATCACAGTTTACAGGGGGAATTCCCACATCAACCATTTCGCCAGGTCCTATCAAAGACAAGTTACATATGGAGAACTCCCCTGATCACTGACAACAAAGTGGGCTTGTGTGGCTGGAAGGCCAATAAACACCAGGAGACTGCTCGTCTCTGCCTCCCCAGAGGTTACATTATGGACACATGTGGTCTATATTGCTTTTTTTACCTGCGTTCTAGGACTCAATATCAGGTCCTCACGCTTTCCCAACTAGAGACAGAGCCATCTCTCTGGCCCCAGAAAATAATTGAATTGGGAGGTTATTTTTGATTTATCATATTTTTTCTTTTTATCATTATTGATTTTCTTCCTCTTCCATATTTTGGGCTTTCTTTGAGTTCTTCTCATTACCTCCTTAAACTCTTTTGTACTCTGATCTTACACGTAGATAAGATATCTCCTGAAATACCTGCCATATTCTGTGAGTCAGACGCCACTCCTTTAGCTTGTCTGGACTCTTGGAAAGCCAAGAAAGTTTATATGTTTATATTGACTGGACAGTCACATCTGTCTGAAACTTTTACAGTTTTGTTTTGTGTGTGTGTGTGTGTGTGTGTGTGTGTGTGTGTGTGCATGTATGTGAGAGAGAGTTGGGGAGGCAACAGCTGTGAATGTTGTGTGTGGATTGACAGTGTTTCAGATGACAGTGCATGTGGAGGTCAGAGGTGACATAAGATATCTTCCCTCATTGACTTCTACCTTATATCCACAGTCAGAATTTCCCACTCAACACAACCATTGGCTTTTATTTTCCAGCTTGTCAGCTTGCCCTGGGGTTCACCTGTCTATCTTTATTATGACGTGGTTGTCAGGAATTTGAACTCAATTCTTCATCCTTGCGCCACCAGGGCTTTACCCACAGAGCTACCTCCCCAACCACCCTTCATGACAATTTGAGTTAATAGCCTTGCACTTGTGACTACCAGCATCCACATGTGCTGTTTACTCCCCCTTTCAGCTCTAAGATGTTTTCCGTGCAAAAACACTGAATTTGTGCCAAGCTGAGAGAAGGAAAAAAAAGAAACAGAACAACATTAATATGAATATTTCTGAAATGTAAATCATGTTCATAAAACAGCCTTCTTCAATAAGCAAATTTTGTTTATAAATCTGATATTGAGTGTATGTGTTGAGATGACCTTTTCTAATCTCTGTGCATTGGTCCCAAATACACCTCGCTGCAAAGCAACTCGGCAAGTTCTCAAGCATTTTGCTCCTTATTCTAAAAATATTAGATTTTTCCATTTCCCAAATACATTTTTCCCTTCCAGAAATACATCATTGATTCTTTCAGTGACCATAGACAAATGACTCTGTAGCCTACATTTTCAGTGCTAAATTGAGCATCTTAGCACTAGTGCAAGGTCTGTGGGAGGCTTATTAAAGTTATGCTCAAAGAGGCCAATATTTCTCACAGCTTCCCCCAAACCTTCTCCCTCCATATCCAAATTGGATATGAAGAATATAGCACTGACAACATAATGTGTATACTATAGGAAAAATTGTGGTTTGGTATCTTTATATAACAACAGAACTGTATATTGTGTGTGTGTGTGTGTGTGTGTATGTGTGTGTGTGTTTGTGTGCCTACTTTACCTCTAGGTTTTTGTGTTGATGTATGTATTGAGACATTTGTGTGTGCCTGTATATGTGGAGGCCAGCAGAAACTCTTGGGTGTTGTTCCTCAGGCACCATTGACCTTGTATGAGGATCCTTGAACGAGGATCTTTCACTGATCTGGAACTCACCAAACTGACTAATTTATACAGCCAGTGAGAACAAGGGATTTGGCTCCTTGTGCCTCCTCAACACTGGCATTACAAGCACGCACCATATATACATGGATTCTGTGTGATTGAGCTTAGGTCCCCATGTCTGTAAGGCAAATACTTTACTGATTAAGCTATTTATTTCTTCCACAACCTTGGAGGTTTTCCTAGAAAAATATAAGATTCTGTTAGTTCAAAGTAACAGAGTCTCAAATGCAGCCAAACTGCTCGAAATCTTTATTTTTCTGGAGAGTTCTTGGTGTGTCTCACAGAATGCGACACACTTTACCACAGTCCTCGGAGGGTATGGGAATGAAAAGTGGTCCTGAGGACAAGCGAAACCAAATGTACACATCATCAGGACCCTGTCCATCTCTTGCTGTGCTGTGTGCACAGGTCACCAGAGTTTTATCCGTTTATCTTTTACGTTCTTCATATGCATGAAGTCATGACCATAACAGATGTTGGGATCTTGTTTTCCATAGTATAAACCATCAAATTCAGGCTATTTGTCATTTTCTTGGCATCGTAACTTAAAGAAACATAGAAAAAAAACATTGCTTACATTTCTTTGCTTATCATTCTCTTGTTAAATCAGTAAGTACTTTGTGGAGGCCGTAGGTGGTACATGTGGTAAAGGTGCTTGCTGTCAAAGCCGGCAGCCTGAGTTCACTCTAGATATCCACCATGATTGAAGGCAGAAACTGGCTTCTTCAAGTTGTGTTCCGGCATCCTCACCTCCCTCATGGCGCATGCCCCTTGCCACCATATTTACACACACTAAATAAGTAAGTTAATTTATTCACGTGTAAAGGAAATTTAAAAATAAACACTTTGTTGTCACCTGGAACATGCATGTCATGGGTGGGGTCAGGTAAGTTAGAGTGAAAGGCTTGAATTATTTAGCTTCATGGAAGTCTTGAGAAAGGTGAGCTCAGGGTAAGAAACATTCAGAAGTTGGACTGGAGAGTTGACGCAGCAGTTAAAAGTATGTTCTGTTCTTGTAGAGGACCCTGGCTCAGTTCCCAACACTCACATGCTGGCACACAGCACCATCTGTAACTTCACTTCTAGGGTATCCAACAACCGTTTTAGGCTTCGTTCAGCATCAGGAATGCATGGGTGTGGTACACATGCAAACATACACTCAGACCTACAACATGAGAAAAAATAGACAAAGAACAAAAAGGAGATGTCCAGAAGTAAGGTAATGGCAAGATACAAAAGACGCGAGGAGTGCTGGCAGAGAATGGTCCAAACAGTGCTATCACCACGGGGTTTAGGGGGTGATGGGTGAGTGGGAGGGGGGGAGGTGGCGTGTCTTATTCAGATTTTGTTAAAAGGACACTATATTGGCTTGGCATACTTAGTAAAGGTCTTCAGGATGCTTTGGGCACTTTCTGATAAAGTAGAATTTCTTTGCATGTTAATTGCAGGGCAGACATTAATCTTTAAACCTGGTTCGGTTTCTGTGTAGCTTAAGATAGCTTCCTGGTTGTTTCCAAAAGAGAAGCACAGACAGTAATCTCCACGACTGCTACTTTCTTCATTTCCTTTCAAAAGCCTCCACACTTTCAAATGTAAAGAAATCACCCTTTTGCATGGTGCACCACAGTAAACACAGCATTCAATAGAGTGCTCCCACTTCTGTTTAACCATATGCAACAGCTTTATGCTCTAAATAGAGGAAGAATTCAACTCTGAGATTCCCACTACTCAGAAGTGCCAGCAGATCTGTATGATTTTCATATTTAATTCGGACAGTTATAGGACTTTAGCAAATCTGTTTTTCAGTGCTGCTCCCAAAGTTTTTGCTTCACTCTGTTTCAATTGTCTTAGTTTATTTTATTTATTATGCGTTATCTTTCATTAGGTGCTTGCCAAACTACTGTGAACATGGAGGACACTGTGTCCAATCCTGGACTACCTTCCACTGCAACTGCAGTGACACCGGATACACAGGCGCCACCTGTCACGACTGTGAGTACTCATACAGTGTGCCCACAGTGAATGGGTACACCTGTCACAATTGTGAATACACATGAAGTGTGCCCAGGGTGAATGGGTACACCTGCCACAATTGTGAGTACACATACAGTGTGCCCACAGTGAATGGGTACACCTGTCACGATTGTGAGTACACATACAGTGTGCCTACAGTGAATGGGCACAGCTCAAGGAGTACAGTGTGGGGACCCTGACTCCCAGTGTGGTGTGAGCATTGTTTATCACTTTAGCATGAATTATCTAATAGGATATTATATCTCAAATACTAATTCATGCAGGGAAAATTCAAGGATATAAGATATATTTTTGTGGATTTATGAGATTAGGACAAAGAAAGTGAAGTTGGACGTATACTAAATAAAAGAGAGATGGTGCTGTAAGTATATAGGGGAGCTGTGGAACAGATGGCATTGTCATACTGCTGCGACAGGTAACTAATATATATTACACTGGCACAAGTAGCTCATCGTACAATGTACGTCTTATTCATTTTCCCATTGCTTTGGTAAAAACACTCTGACAAAAGCAACTTAAGAGAGAAAGGTTGATTTGGGTTTACAGCTCTAGAGGATTCATTCCATCACAAAGGAGGAAGACATGTCTACAAGGGGGTCAGCAAGGCAGAGAGAACAGACATCCTGAAAGGTCACTTTGTATCCACATAAAGGAAGCAGAGAGTGAATGAAAAATAGGGAAAAACTGTATAGCTTCAAGGACCACCCTAGAGACTCATTTCCTCTGATGAGGCTCCACCTCTTAGAGATTCTGCAATCTTCCCAAGCAGCACAAGTCAGGGGACACCTGTTCAAGTGTGATCCTATGGGGGACATTTTACCCTCAAACTACTACATGGCTAGCCCACAAGCACCCCAGACACTGGCGGGCTTTCTTCCTCATTGTCCTCATTATGGCAGAAGTCTCCTCATCCGAATGCTGCAATGGTTAAAGAAAGCAATCGCATGGTAAGGAAGCAAACTTCTGTGGTTATTCAAAGGCTTCTACTGAAAGAGCGGTTGGCGGTTACTTCTCACATTCCATTGACCTGATACTGCCCTACTGTCTCCAATAGGAGGGAAATGCATTCAAACCATTTGCTCATCAGCCCCTGTCTGCCTCCCATCAAGTGGTTGTCCTTGATCTGCTGAACTTCTCTCTGGTGGCATTTGCAGGTGCGCATTCAGGGTCTCTCTACCATGTCTCAGGCTTTTATAATTTCCTCACGGTGTAGATTGCTGACATCCTAACAAAGCCTTTCAGGTCATTTTCCAGCTTTACAAAAGGATGTCAACTTTCTTCTTTCAGGTCTGATGGAGTACTGCTCACTTGGGCAGTCAGTCAACAGATATCGACTGGGAGCGTATCAAGCTGTCTGGCTCTCATACTTAACGGTCCTCACAGAGCAGGGAGGCTTTGCTAGTTCCTCTACAGGGAAACAGGCCTCTTAGTTACATTTGGATGGTTGTGCATGGTGAGGAAATTCTGACAGAGAGATCTGTTTCAAAGTACCTTCTATATTCTTATCTCAGGTTTAGCTCATTCATTGACATGATTATAGTAGTTTTTATCAATACTGGCATTCTTGACCCTCAAAGCCAATAGCTGATGGTTCTCACCTTTAAGTAGATGAGAAAAAAAGAAGAGAAGAAAAAAGAATGAGCAAGAAATGAATAGAAGGAGAAACAGAAGGAGAAGGAAGGGGGTAGAGAAAAGGAAGGGAAAAAAGGAGAAAGGAATAAATAGGGCAAGAACAGGAGCTGCTGGTGGAATCACCAAAGGCCCAGCAAGCAGGTTAGCTGCATAAGTAAAGAAATGAAGCTTAGGGGATGATGTCACTGGTTAAGCCTGGTACAATCTCTGCCCAGAGAACTAACCACTGTAGCTGAAAAACTGCATGGAGCACCAAAGGGAAGTTTGTAATTGAAAAGTGTGTGGTTGCTCAAGAAGGTTAAATCAATAGAGTGTTGGAGGTCTAAGGGTACATTCTGAAATTTGTAAGTTATATATATAAAACATATATATATATATATATGTGTGTGTGTGTGTGTGTGTGTGTGTGTGTGTGTGTGTGTGTGTGTGTCTGTGTGTGTGTTCTTCTGGGGGATAAGCATGTGTGAATATGCATATTTTGAACAGAAATCAGGTTCATGTATCACTCTCTTATGTCTTCTACCTCATTTTGTAAGGCTGGCCTCTTACTGGGCTGGAACTAAAGTATGCTGAAGTGACTAGCTCTACATATATCAGCCTCCTTAGGACTGAAATTGCAAATGTACACCATCAAATTCAGCTTTTTAATATTCGGATTCTGGGCAAGGCCAATCAACAAAACCATTTCCTCAGATTTGACAAGTGAAACACTCTCAGGGATAGAACAGATCCAGGTATACCAGAGAGAAACCCAGCTTCACAGGTAAAATGCTAGCCACAGGAGCCTGCTAACCCAAATCCAAGTCCAAAGAGTCATGAGAAAATCTGAATGTGGGGGAGAGGCCTCTAACATGCTAGCACTCTTGCCTACAACAAAATTATAAGGGGGATGGGAGACTTTCCCAGTAGCTTCTGAGCCAGAAATGGGTAGTCTGGAAGAGGTTGTGCACAGACAGAAACATCTCAGTCTCAGCAAGGTCAAAGGTGAAAACTGACTCCCCAAAGTGTTACCTACTTCCACATGTTAGCAGCGACATGGGTGCCCCCCTTTCTGTCAGATGAATGCATTTTTAAAGGACAGCAGAGCAGTGGTGATAAAAGCTAAAAACGAATTAAGAAAGCAATGCCAGAATGTCCCCATGAGAAGGAAGCTTGGGGGTCCTGTTCACACAGCTGGTGAGTCATACCCTGCGGATCAGGGTATGACCCCTTACCATAAGAGGCGTCAGTTTCTGGATGACTGGGTGGATGTGGAAGAAACTTGGAAAAAAATTGCAATGAGCCAAATGAAAACATAGAGCAGAAATGAATCTGTTCCTGCAGGTAGGGTGACGTAGTTGGTCTAAGGGTGCCTGGTATTGGCTGGTCTGAGAAAACAGACAGACTGTTGCCATTGCTAGGTGTTGTCAGAATGCAAATCTTTCAGAATATTTAGAATCTTTCCCTGACATGGAAAGTGAGGCAAACACTGACTTTGGTCTCTGCCCCAGGAACAACAAAATCTAGTTCCTTTCATTCACATTCAATAAAATATTAACACATACGCAAGGCTGCCGGTGGGGAAGTCCCCAGGCTTGCCTGTAAGGAGCTTGGAACTTCACGAAGAGAGATCAGAATGTCCATATAGGCGTCTACTGAACACACTTTAATGTGACCCGGGGCTTTTGCTGGTTATTTTGTTTTTTAGCATAGTAGTTTCCCCAAATTCATAGGGAAAATTCTAAGACCTCTTCTAGATCCATAGGCAGAACCAAACCCAATGTGTAAGAGACCTTTCCTTATACATGTATTCCTACCTGTTACCAGAGCATTTAGGGTAAAAGTCTGAGGCCTGAGACCCCCCTGACAAGCTAGGGTTGTCCACCTGTTTCCCACAGGCCAGTTCAAAAGACAGGAAATAGAGCAGAAAAGAGAGACTTGATCAATGTGCCCACACTGGAAAGAGGAACAAGGAGACCCAGCTACCCCTGAAACCCTTCTTTAGGGTCCCGACGTGAAGAGTAGGTTCTAGGAGAGAACCAGCAGTGTGCATAGCTAAGCAGTCCTAGTTGAGATGTGGCCCTGACCTCTCCCCTGTGTCAGTCTCTCATGCATAGCAGTTTGATGAATTATTAGAACAGAGTGAAATCTCTGTCCTAGAGACACAGTAAGCCTTCTGCCCTTTCCATCTCACAGCATGGAATTCCTATAGAAATCTCAGTTCCTGAAGACCCTTCTCTCTGTTAATCTGATAGGAAAAAGAGAGTTCTTGTAGAATATCTTCCTCCCTGCGGGCACAGAATGATACCTATGGTGGAGTTGAACTTATAAAGTAGGCACAGGAAGGGATGAACTTTCTCCCTTTGAAGACATCAGTCATCTTATGGCTTCCACATCATCTCCTGCATGCTTGTTTGTTCCTTTTGCTCTTTTCCTCCTCTTTCTCTGTGCATCTCCATCGTCCTCCCCCATCTTGTGCTTATTTCATTGAAGACACAAGAAAGTTAGCTTCAAATGACTGCATTGGATTAGCATCACAGAAATGTAGTCACAAATATTGGCTCATAGAAGCAAGAAATCATCCTAAATTTGTGAATGAGAATTAACTGAAGGTAAGTCAGTTGCTGATGTCACATCATTTGGAGTACATTGATATTTACTGTGTACAATGAGCAAGAAAAATGAGAACGTTTTTTCTCATATGTTTCAATCAATGGAAGACTACTTGTCAAAGAAATGCAAATTCCCAGTGTTCCCCTTAACCAAAAACTAATCTAGGCTAATGGAAAAGCTCCATGGTAAATTACCTGCCACTCAAGAATCAGGAATGTAATTTCAACCCCCAGAACCCACATAAAACCAGATGAACAATAAGAGGTAAAGATAGGAAACTTTTGGAAGCTCACAAGCCAGCTAACCTAGTGTATACAGCAGAAAAACAACAAATATAAGCTGTCTTAAGTAAGATGGAAGGTTAAGGTCAATATCTGAGGTTGTCCTGTAAACTCCCATGTGTACCATGATGTCGACATTCACATTCACAATTTTACACCCCCCCCCCCAAACACCAGTGGTATACTCATACTCAATCAAAGACGAAAAAAGAAGTGTTCTGGAAGATATGTCCATGTTGAACACAGAAAGCGAGTTTATCATGCCCTTGGATTCAGGCAGATGAAGGCTGGAGGTGGCATTTTCCATTAAACAATATCTTGACTCAGCCAACTTCCATTCCTTCTGAAACAATCCTATACACAGTTACTCTTTGGATTAGAAATGCCCAGAAAGAAACTAAGCGATTATCTAGTATCTAATAGTTCCATGTTAAATTCTACCAGTTGAATATT